AGGAGAGGATAACCGCATCGTCCGCGTAAAGCAAAACCGGAACTGGAGTCATGTTTAATTTGGGCGGGTGGCCATTAACCCTATCCAAGGAAGATGACAAATCAGAAATAAAGAGGTTAAAAAGTGAAGGGGCAAGAACGCACCCTTGTTTAACCCCTTTGGAAACACTTATTTCCTTGGTAAGGGAACCTTTCCCGTCAAATCTCACCTGACAGAAGTTGGACGTATGCAGTTTCCGAATCAAAAATAAGAGGCGCTTGTCAATCCCCAATTTAAGAAGTTTATCCCACAATAAAGATCTATTGACAAGAGTCAAAAGCTTTGCGGAGATCCACAAAAGCTGCATAAAGCTTACTACGCAGATGGCGGGAGTACTTCTCAGCTAGAAAAGCTAGAGTGGTACAATGATCAAGAGTGGATTGATTCGCTGTAAAGCCGGTTTGTTCTCGCCCGGGGAGATTCTGGTCTGCCATCCATTTAGTTAATTTGACAAGCAAATGTTTAGCGTATAGCTTCCCCAAAACAGAAAGCAGACTAATGGGTCTATAATTGTCAATATTATTGGGATCCCCTTTCTTAAAAATTGGGATGACAACAGCACTCAGCCAGGAGTTAGGAAGAATACCAAACTGATCAATCAAAGTAAACAGGTGGGCTAAGGAACGGGACCACCAATTAATGTTGCCTTTCAGTATCTCCGCAGGGAGCCCATCTAGGCCGGGGGCCTTATTAGACTTGAGAGAGCCAATTAGTTCCACAATTTCGTCCTGTAAATCATTATATGAAGACACAAGTGCATACTAGCAGAGTGTGTTTTGTTCTAACGCGGTGTTTCTTTATGTTTGTCTAGTCCTGAGAGGGCAGCATGACTGATAGGTGGCTTTGTTCTTTCTTGCAGTCGACTAAGAGGAGGAACCAGGGCACCACATCAACGGCTTGGGAGTCTAGACCTTCTGTCACGGAGTCCTCCATAATCACCCGTCTTTTTGAAGGACACCTCAGCTACTACATCATGTGTTTGGAATGTCAAACCACCACCTACAAAAATGAGATCTTCACTGTTTTATCTCTCCCTATCCCTTATGAGACTGAATGCTCACTAGAGGTATGGCTTTTTCCTGCTCGAGAAATATGGCTTAGGTTCTCTTCTCTCTGGATGTCTGATGACGGTGGCAGTTACTACTTGCCCTGTTTTTTCCTCCTATGCATCACTTCATGCACAGAAGTCTTTCTTATGCAACAGGATGCTCAGACCCTGACTGGAGAACCCCATGCATTGATACATAGTGGAATGTGCCCCTCATGCATGGAGTGGAGCAAAAGCACACTTCCCCTCTCTCTTCAGCTGTCCTGACTCCAAAGTTTATGTGTGGGCATAATAAATCCGGTGGGCACTGATCTACATCATAGGGTCCAGGTGGGCTTCTTTTGCATGTACAAACCAGGTGCCTCCGTCAGATGTTTATCTTGTTCTCTCTTCAGTGAGCACAGGGGTGATGTACAGGGTTCTCCTCTCTTCCCTCTTGTCCTCACAACAGCCCTGCAAAGTAGGTTAGATGGAGAGGGACTGGTGCAGGCTGTTGGCAATCTCAGTGGTAGAGGGGAGATTTGAACCTGGGTCTTTCTGAGCCTAGCTTAGTACTCTTACCACTGCTTCGCACTGGCTCTTGTACACTAGATGTGTCAGCGTCCCCAAGTCCACCGTATTTTCAGTCTGGAAAGCAACTCCCCCACATGCTGTGGTCCCACTCAGGATTGGGCCCCTGTAGCTTTTGTAAACAGTAGTTGATGGCAAAGACATCCCCATGCTGGACGCTTAAAAGTTTAGTTGGGCTCTCAGCAGCAGCTGCAAATACCCAACCCCAGGAAATGCCTGTAATTGAAAGCACCCTTCTGTACATGCACTTCCCAACTGAGGGTGTTTCACTGGGTGCACTGCTTTTGGAAAGGCTGAATTTAACCAGTCATGCTTAGAAATTTCACCTAGACACCCTTAAAAAAAAACCCATTCAAAATCACTATCCACAAACTAACTTCCTCCAGACCAAGGAGCTTTCCTCTCTAGGAAGAGCCCGTTGCTGGAAGGAAGGTCTGTGGGATGAAGCGAAGGATCTTGGGGACACCGACAGAAGGTGGCTCCATGCTCAGCCGAGCAGGGTGGCGGGATATAACTCAAGGCCTTTGGCAGCTCCCCTTCTTCACCACCACAGCAACATCCTGCAGGCAGGATCTCAAGGGAGTGAACCATGAAAGAACTGAGGATGCCCACCTGTCTCATGGAAACTTTTTGGGTCCTCAGGACTGCCTGGAATGCTTCTTTCAGCAAGACATGCTGACTTGGAACAACCAGATCACCTGTTCCTGCTGCGGGACAAAGCAAGACGCTGCAGTGAAAGCCAGCATAGCCAAGGCACCCAAGATAGTGATCTTTCACCTGAAGAGGTACAGGACTTGCCCTTTGGATCATTTACAAGATTTCCCCCACACCGATTGGGAGAGTGTTACTAACCCGTGGTCGGCTGCTTTTTAAATGTTTAGTCAAGATGATCAGTCTAGATGATCAGACTAGACCTCCCTTTACTGAGATGTGAAATGAATTCAGTAAAATATCTTCATCTCCAGCTAAAGGCAAAGATTAAATACAACCTCATCCAAGGTTAATGTCTAGGGCTGCTTGCCAATATAATTTTTTTTGCTCATTTATGGTTCCCAATAATGCTGACAACAGCAAAGATATACTTGAATTGCTCTGTCTGAGACAAGAGAGAGCTGTCCTGCAACAGCTCTTGTCTCTTGCTGTGCTTTGGTTTAGGACATTTCCACCAAGGGAAAACTCTGATGTGAGCAGCATGTGAACAAATGAACAGTACGGCAGCCCACATTTCTCTGTATAAACTCTGATTTGTAGAAAAGGATGTAAAAATGTGTATCAACGTTTGTATCAAAGTTTATCACGGTTCCATATAGCTCAAGTTTTAGGGCCTGGAAATATGCTCAAGTTATTATATCTATTAATTTGGATGCTTGCAACATAGCAACCAGCTCCCCAACCTGAAAAAAAGAACTCAGTTGTTTAAAAAGGCCTTTCTTTATTTTCAGGTTTGATTGTCAAGGAAGTTACAAAAAGAAACTGAAAACTGACATCTACTACCCTCTAAACAACTTGGATCTGTCCCCCTATATCTATCCACTCTTTCGGAAAAATCCAAAATACAGCTTATTTGCTGTGGTGGTAAGTGATTTCAACGTCTGGACAGATAAAAGAACACTGTAATTCTGCAAATCCCCCCCCCCCCCCAGCTGAAAGCAGATGCAGGTAAGTCAGAGGTGAATCAGTAGGGATGGAATGCTTAACTCTTTCCTTCTCTGTCATCTGAAACTCACACCTTCTGGCAGGTGCTTTACTCCCTGAGAGGAATTGTCTCCCTTGGGGACCCTCAAATCCAAGAAACTTACTGGGTGGTCTCAGGCAAGCAGTTCTTGCTGTTTGGCTCACCTACCCTACTGGATTTACTTATGGTACAATCCTATGCCAAGTTACTGCAGTTAAAGCCCATTGGTACCTAGGGGGTTAGATGGGAGTAATTCTGCACCGGACTGCACTACTATCTTGCTGTCATGCCCCTTGAAAACTTTACTGAAAGAAAAGAAGTAAACTGTGCTATCAAGTCGTAACTGACTCATGGCAACCCCATGAAGTTCCACCTTATGGGGTTTTCAAAGCATGAGCAGAGGTGGTTTGCCATTGCCTTCCTCTGCAGAGTCTTTCTCAGTGGCTTCCCATCCATGCATCAACCCCGCTTCGCTTCCAAGTTCTGTGAAGATCGGGCTAGTCTGGCCTGTGAATAGAAGCTACTGACAGCAAAGCTGTAAATAAATAAATATCCATGTGTGCTGCCCTGAAACCTTAGCAGGAAATGTAAGATAAGAATGACTGAAAAGAATAAGAAAAAACATACGGGGGGGGGGCTCTCAGAGCTGGGGCTGAAGAGCTCAATGTCTAAGTATGAATGGCTGCATGAAATCTGTTTCCCCTGACAAGGCTGCGTTTTGCATATTCCTGGTGGCTCATTTGGACTTTTTTTGGTTTTCCTCATGACTCGCATTTCTGAAGCGCACCAAGCATATCCTAATCCCACTGACTGGAATGCCAGTCATAAAGTGCCTACTCTCACAGAGCTTTGATTTACTGTTGTTTGTTTGTGGCAGAATCATTTTGGAGATCTAGATGGCGGCCACTACACCGCATTCTGCAAGCACACCGTCTCCCAGAGCTGGTACAACTTTGATGACTCTCAAATCAGTGAGATTCCAGAATCTGCTCTCCAGACTCCTGCAGCTTATCTCCTGTTCTACAGCAACCAAAGTTTCTCTGTGCCAGTGAAAAACTAAAGTGGTTAAGAACACACAGAACAAGTATGAAGCAGCGACGCTGTTAGCATGAACGTGCAGACAGCTGGTGAGTCGGGTTTTGAGTGATCATTCAAAGAAGCGCCATCTGCATTTCTTTCACTGTGTTTTGTCTGTAAGAAAGTGAATCGGAAACCAGTCCAGGCAGCACTGCTGTTTTCTGCAGTGAAGTGACAGATGCTGGATGTGAACACGGTTTTATTAATTCTCCACGTGATGTAGCATAGTCCAAGTTAAATAAACGGTTCCTGGACAACCACAGTGGAAGAGTTGGTTTTTATTGTGACAGAATCCAAGATGAACTATATATATATTTTAGTAGCTTACCCACAACAAACCTGGAGGTAGAAGACAGGAAGAAGGCAGAGGACAAAACTAATCTTTTAATACAAATGCATGGCTAGTGAGAACCTGGCTCTGCAAGCAGCTGTCTTTACATTCAGTGACAAAGAATTTTTCTTGGTCATCAAACTGGCCTTGATAGATCAGTTGGTGGGGGGTGGGGGCTTAAACCTCAGGAAAGGGGTGGGGGCACTTGCCCTAGGCTCCCATCTATACCCTCTGCCTCCCCAGGTAGCTACAAGTGTGATCGGGGCTGGGCAGGACATCAGTCAAGGCTCTACCCTCTCATTGCTAAACTTACTTGGCCATTTGTTAGTCAAAAACCAAACTGAGGTCTGTACCAACTCTTCTCCCCTGTGCAAGAGACAGCCAAACATCTCAGTCTGAAATGAACAGACATTTAATGGTCTACTTTCAAATACTTTTCTCAAGATTTTAATGCATGAATACATGAAATTCTTATATTAAATACTAAAAAGGAAAAGTCATCTCAATTCTTCAGAATACATTAATGTGTGCACAGACTGATAAAAGCTCAACAGAAAAATACAGCTCTGCCCTTCCCTATCTGTAAGAATTAAAGTTATTTTGACAAAACAAAAAGAAGCCAACCTTCCTATTCTAGTAGTGCTCACCAAAGGACCACATACCTCTTATATACAATAGTTTAGATGTGCAAGTATGCAATCAATATATACACATTACATTCCTACCTGTTTACATCATTTCTAAGATATTCACAGTAGAATCAAGCTTTTAAGGTTAGAAGTGTGAAAAGGCCATAAACGTGGAGAGAGAAAATTAAAAGATATGTTTTGGGTTTTGGGACATCTCACAAACCCTGTATGTTAAATGGCTTTAGAATGGCTAAGCTAGATCTATAGTTTTGGAGCAGCATTACAAAATCAAACTTTTGAAATGAACTGTTTTGTACTAAACAGCCTTGTTAACCACTGGCTTTTGGGATGTTAAGCAACAGCGCTAAGAGGAAAGAGGGTCTTGGCGGAGAAACTGCTGCAGCCGTCTCCTTACTCAGCCGGTGACCTTATACGTGGCGTGGCTCAGTGCGTTATGGTGCATTTATTTTCAGAAAAAGTGACAGAGACCAACCATCTCCAGTAATGTTGCTTTATGTGGCTAGGTCAGCCGCTCGCTGTTCAAAAGAAGTATAAAAAAGGATATAAGCAGCTGAGGACTTAACCGACGATGAGGAGATGTCAGACACTTCATGGTCATCAAATCTGTACCATCGCTGCTTGGCAGCGTTTTTACAGTACGCTGTGTAGTGTCCTCCATCCAGCCCTCCATAGTGATTCTAAGGGGAACAGGAAGAAGAAGAAGAAGAAGAGATGGATTTATACATACCCCATTCACTAGAAGTCTCAGAGCAGCTGACAATCTCCTTCCCTTCCGCTCCCCACAACAGACACCCTGTGAGGTAGGTGGGGATGAGAGAGCGCTGAGAGAACTGTTCTTGAGAGAACAGCTCTGAGAGAACTGTGACTGGCCCAAGGTCACCCAGCAGGCTTCTTGTGGAGGAGTGGGGAGGAGTAGTGCTCTTAACCACTACACCAAACTTAGTTCACTTGCTTTTTGGCCTGAAAGCTCAAAAATCAGAGATAAATTGTTCTGCAAATTGAGCCAGAGATTATAACAGTTATAGGATCCCCTCTGCCCAGGGCTCTACAGATTTGGTACATTCAAGCGGCAATTAAAAGCAAAAAAACAACAACCCTGTTCATATGAATTAACCAGCTGGGGGAGAGGGCATGCTACATCTTTGCAGTTCTTTACTTGTATGAATTCACTAGCAGATAAGGTACAAAACAAACATGCCAAAAGGAGAGGAGAGAAGACCCTACAAGAACTAACCATCAAAAAGATGAAGGCCCTCCAAAGTGGTATAAAAAACATGATCACATTCAGTAGATCACTGAATAAGATTCAGCTAAGAACTCCTAGGTTGGCAGGAGCTGCGGTGGCTCAAGTGGTTAAGACGCTGAACTGCAGGCTGTGGAAGGTCAGTAGTTCAGCAGTTCGAGACCCGAGTTGCCGCATGACAGAGTGAGCTCCCGTCTCTAGTTCCAGCTCCTGCCAACCTAGCAGTTCGAAAGCAAGACATTGCAAGTAGATAAATAGATACAAATGGAAGGTAACAGCGTTCCGTGCGCCTTGGTGTTTAGTCATGCCGGCCACATGACCACGGAAACGTCTTCGGACAGCGCTGGCTCTTCGGCTTTGAAACGGAGATGAGCACCGCAACCCTAGAGTCGGACTCGACTGGCTTTCGAGCAAGGGAAACCTTTACCTTTACCTTAAGAACAAGCCACAAAAACATAAGAAGAAAACTGGAGATTATCTACATTACTATTACAAGTCTCAGCTCATACTTTGCAAGGCACAAAGCTGTGGAGTCACTTACAGATACTGCAAAGAGGTTGTATCTCCTCAAGTTGCTCTTTGGACCAATAACGTATTGCTGCAGGTCAAGGCTTTCCAGAGGGAAATCGACAGATGTTTGTAGCTTTTGCTTCCATCGTCCATCATAGGAAAATCTAGGGAGGACCAAAAAGGAATCTGATTTGCTAAAATATGAGTCTACTGAAGAAAAGGAACAACAGCAGCAAACCCTTATGGAGACAAGATTCCTAAAAATGGAAAAGCAGGTTGCTTACCAGTAACTGGTGATCTTCGAGTGGTCATCTGTGCATTCACACCCATGGGATCTAGTGCGCACGCGCTGGATCGATCAGTGCTGTAGCAAGCTCTTTTAACGGATTTTCGCACCCAGTCCCTCGGGCATGCGCAGGAACCCCACCGCGCATGCCCAGAGGGGTGGGCGCGGACATCCCGCCAGTTCCTACAAACCGGCGCAAATCAACCCCCAATAAAAATGTAGAAGCTGACAGCAGCGGGGAAGGAGGGCAGGTGGTGTGAATGCACAGATGACCACTCGAAGATCATCAGTTACTGGTAAGCAACCTGCTTATCTTCTATGTGGTCTCTGTGCTTCACACCCATGGGAGATTAGCGAGCAGTAGCCTACCTGGAGGAGGGTGCTGGCAGGTCTTTTACTGTGTAGCCAAAGACAGAATGTGACGTCCCATGTTGGAATTGGTGTTCATATGGACGTCTAGGGCGTAATGCCTTATGAAGGTATTAGGCGTGGCCCACGTAGCAGCTTTGCAAATGTCCGTCAGTGGCACTCCCTGAAGGAAGGCAGTGGAAGTCGCGACAGCCCTGGTAGAATGAGCCCTGATAGGGCCAGGCAATGGCTGTTTGGCGATCTGGTAACACAGACGGATGAGACCCACAATCCACTTTGACAGGCGCTGGGCCGTGATTCGAGTGCCCAGTCGTGCTGACGCGTAAGAGATGAACAGTTGTGAGTCTCGTCTAGTCGGGTGTGTTTTATTGAGGTAGAACAGGAAAG